TAATATTTACTTGCTTTTTAATGTTTATAATTTATTGATATTTATTTTTTAAATTATATTTGATGTTTGTTTTTTAATTATGCTGTATGCCACTTCAAATCCCAGTTATGTGTGAAAGGTAGGATACAGATCAGATTGAATAAGCAAATACTATTAGTCAAATTAGTACACTCCCTCTTTATTCTCATCAACATAATACTACATCATATTAATATTTATCTTAATAAGAGTAGCAAGTAGCAATAGCAAGTATGTTTCTCTACTGCTTATCAGTGCACTTAAGCACTCCCTTAAGCAGCTTACAATGTGTTAGCTAATTGCCCCCAACAATCTGAGTACGAATTTTAGTGGCCTCAGAAAGATGCCAGGTTGAGTCAACCCTGGAGCCTCTGGCTGGTATCAAACTCACAGTCTTGCAACTGTTGAGTGAGTGGATGCAGTACAGACATTTCACCAGTGTACGAACAGGGCTCTTAATACAGTTTGGCTGAAAAATACGATAGTATTTTCCTGAATGGAACAATAGCTTATTTTACCAGTTCATAAACAGGAGACTTGCAAATAGTTGAGATGTTCAATATTCCTCCTCATCTTCTCTTTGCCTTACTATGGCTACATTGAAAAACCAAGGATCTATTTAAGTTCAACATATTAAGCTCATTATCTCTTATGCCCCCTTTTGCTTTTGCTTTTGCTTTAAGTGATATACTTTTTGTCATAAGGATATGGTTCTGCACCTAGAAAATGAGTTAGATTGCTAGTGTACTTAGGACACTTACTAGAATGGGAACCTTTTACCTTTATGGTTTTATAGACCTCCTTCATAGACTTTGGTTTGTGTGTGAGTGGGTTTTGGGTGGGAAATTGAAAATTTGATCCATCATTGGAGTGTGTATTGCTAGCAGAAAGATACTGTTGGGTGAAGTCCTTTATCCCACCCCCCCATGAAAATGATTTATGTTCTATACCACTGTATTTGTTGGTCGAATGCAGAAGTAATGTACAAATGTTATGTGGAGGGAAAGGTAGAAATCAAACAATCCAATGTTTATATAAAAGTCACAGAAAACCACTATACTGGCCCATGAAGTGGGACATAGAGTGTTTTAATCCCAGGAGGGAAAAAGTATAGTTGTATTTCTGTATTTTTTCAAAAGCAAACTATGTATTACAATTGTGTTCAGTCATGATGCACATCATTTTCCGTGTCCTTTATAATTCAGATTCTCTTGCATGTCTTGATATAGCTAATATATCAATAATTTTCCAGAAAAAATCATAGCAAAAAGCAATCCACTTTGGAAAGGTAAACATGAAACAAAGAAAGTCTTGTCTTTATTGCTAACCTCTCATATCACAGAAAAAAACAGTGGTAGCAAATACATTTAGCCTCAAACATCTGTAAACAGGAACAGTGGGGGCAAATAAGCTTATCTGAAACAGTTTATTTGGTTTAGGTTGCTTGCTGAGAGTTAGGATGTCAGGCTAGCACTTCATCAGAAATTACTGTGTGGCACAGAATGCTCCCTGATATCTTTGGACACAAAGTTGTTTGACTGCTGCACATACGTTGCTGTCATATTAGATCCCTAATAACTAAAGGGAAAATTCAAAGACATAGCCATGTTAGTGTGTATCAGTATGCCAAAGGACCTTGTAGCACCTTTGAGATAGAGAGATAGAAGTAGTAGCGTAAGCTTTCATAAACCATTTTGGACCCCCCCCACCCCCTGCTGATACCAAAATCTGCAGATGCTCACATTCCTTTGTTCCCATTGGTGGCATGTGCACACAGCTGCATCACTATTAAGGACAGTGGAACTTAATGGCAACGCGGCTGCATGCACACGCTGCCACAGGACCAAGGGCTGTCCCTAATGGCAGTGCGATCATGTGCACACGCTGCCATTTTGGACAACGTGGGCTTGCTGTCTGCAGATGCTTGAATCTGTGAATGGCAAGTCCACAGATACCGAGGGCCAACTGTATAAGGCATCTTCTTGTGTTCTTATGGACATTGATATAAAGTGTTATTCTAGAACTAAAAGGTTTGAAAACCACAGATGTAATAGAAACCTGTTATCAAATTTTGATAACATTGTCTTCCCCCATCCCTTGTCACTTAGGCTAGAGCAGGAGTAGGAACCTGTGGCAGGTCCAGGAGGCAGGCATGTCCTATGCACCTCCCCTAATACCTACAGTTTATTTAATTTTTAAAATAGGAATCCACTGTGTCATTTGAAGGTTCTTGGGGCATTTTCATTAGGTCTAGGATCCTTTTTTTTACATTCATTAAAAGTCATTTTTCCCAACCAAGAAATAACTTTTATTTTGAGAGAAGAGCGAGACCGTGGGGCTTAATAGAAGAAAAGTTTTTCCTCCAAAACATTAGGGGCAGGGTGGTAGGGTGCTGTACTCAATTCCCAAAGAGGACATACACACCCCATAGGTGGCACATAACTCACTCCAGTGCTGGTCATGCTTACGAATGGTCATGCTCATATTTATAGGCTCATACCTAAAAATACACACATATTAAAGATCTAATATTATAGGAACTAGCTAGACATACATGAGCAGTGGATGTAAGTTCTCCCGCTGTTTTAAACACACACTGTTTTAATACACTGTTTTAAAGACATCAAAGAGGCATGGAAGAGGTTGCCATACTGTAAGAGAGGATGTATTGCATCATTATTCTGAATAAAATACACTCAACATATAATAACATTTTTAGGGGATGGTTACAGTGGTTTTTAAAAAAGATGTTAACCTTCTGTTCCATGCACCATTAATCCCATCTGAACCAAAATCTTCCACTCTATTGTTACATTAAAAAGATGTATGGGACTGTTTCCTATTTGTAGATCTCCTATTTGCATCTTGTTTGGTCTGGAACACTGTGGCCAGCATCTGTAATTTTGGTTGGTTAGGCTAGGGTTGTGTCTTTGAATATCAGATTTGGTCAGTATAATTAAAGGGATTCAAGTACAGCAGAATTAAAAGATATAGGTTCTTCCCTTTTCTGATTTTTGTGTTCCAGTGTACAATATTTGATTAGTGAAATTAGAAGAACATTTCATTTTCATTTTAGCCTGCTTGGAGTTTTAGTCTATTTGACATATCAGTAATTGTAATTGCTAGCAAAGTATTAAGCATAAAATCCTTACAATTCAAATAGTTACCAGTTGTATGTATGTATGTGTGTATAGTGAATTTAAATAGACTGTTTAGTTTATAAAAATCCTAAAACTGCTTGAATACTGCAGACCTTCTGGATGAAAAATCTGTTCTGTGACTGGCTAAAATGGTGTTATTTGCTTATCAAAAAATTATGTGTAAGAAATCATGTTATATTTAGATTTGAAAACCATCTAAAAAGTGAAACCCATTTTACTCCTAGGATAGCTGCTGTTGGGATTTTTGAAGATATTTGCTTGACAAAACACAGACCTAATTCAAGCTCTACAAAGAGAAGCCTCCTTGCTTGTAGCTTTGTGGAGTGTATCTGTTTTTACTTGCCCTGCTTGCTCTGATTTCTCATGTCAAGGGGGGAACAAGGAATGTGGTGCTGCATAATCAGTGCTGCAGTCCTGCTGCTGTTTCTGTTAATAGAGTTCTGTGCAATGCAGTTCTTTTTACAGAATACCTGTCTGCTGTACCACTTCTTAGAACCTTCCTTTAGTGCACAATATTAAGTGAATTAATGAACGGGATATTTAATCCTTTAGCTTTCAGTATTGCAGTGCATAGCAGGAGGGCATAGGGTTCCTTACCACCTGGGTCTGCTGTAGTGTAAAGAACAGCTCTTCAAAGAATGCTGGGCAAAGATATATAATTTGGTAAAGAGCAGTGGCTTTTAAAAAACTGATGCAGTCTCTGTTCAATTACAGTTTAAAACATTTGGAGAATTATTAATTTTTTTTGCTATCCTTGACTAGTTTTAACAATTGATATGTTTTGTATTACAGTTAGTGACATTTGTTTCAATAGCTTTTGCTAATAAATTGAGGGAGGGGGAAAGTGAATGAATACACATAAACATGGACTTCTTTATGCACAGCTTCAAAATAAGGATAGCTGACCATGTGAAACTTATAAAAAGCTTCTGCCTGGCACAAAGTGTACTTACAAAGATGAGTGATTAAAATGAAATGTGTTGGACTTGATCTGTTTTTTTTAATGCCTTGACTTGAATGCTATGGTTGTATCTTTGTGTTAAACCTATTTTCCTTTTTGTAATTTACATGGTTTTAGAGACAGTGAGTTTATGTCTCAATGGCTGGAAGTGTCAGTGATATGTGCCTTTTGGACTTTTGCCTTTGTGACAGGTGAAACCTACTGGCTTAAATTTTGTTTTATATGAGTGGATTTCGCTGTGACTCCCTTTGCTCCATCACACATGCATCTTTAAGCCCTCTCTTTAAACAGAATGCTTCGCAACTAGCTTTTAGTGCACTGTTGTAATTGCAATGAATTGGGCACATTACAAGACTAAAAGGATTTTTGTGTCTTAAAACTGGAGCGCACAAGTTTTTAAAAATTGCTGTAATCTTTCATTTGTTATTGTGTGCTTTCAAGTGGTTTCTGATGTTTGAAGGTAACCCTGTCATGGTGTTTTCTTGGCAAGATTTGTTCAGAGGTTTGCTTTTGCTTTCCTCTGTGGGTGAGAGAATGTGAGTCTTATTGCAATAGGAAAGAAAGCTGAAATGGAGCAGGAGAGTAGCTGCTTTCTTCCTGCCTCTCCACACACCGCCATAACAGTTCCATTCTCTTTCCGAGGGAGATGGTCATAAAAGCATATCTTTAATCATGCTGGAAAAATCAGTTTGACAAAAAGCATATTTTTACAACCGTCTCCCTCTAGAGGAGAAGAGAACTGCTATGATGGCATGTGAAGAGACATGGCGAAAGCTGCTACACTTGCACTCCATTTTGTCTTTTTCCCCTCATGCGCTTAAGGCTCTGTGACTCACCCAAGGTCACCCAATGGGTTTCCGTGCCTGAGCAGGGATTTGAACCTTCGTCTCCCAGAGTCCTAGTCCAGTGCTCAAACCACTACACAACACTGGCTCTTGCAGGCTTGTTGCTAGAACTGGATTAATGATTATGCCAAATAAGGTACAGAGTGAGACCCCAACCAGTTTAGGCCTGGAACATGAAATCATTATTTAGGAACTTCTCTGAGCAAAAGCCTTCTACTTTTATGCCAGATTCTTTTAAACATTTTCTATGCAAACATGGTTGTGCAACATTCAGCCATCATCTGATGGTTTCTTGTAAAACTGAGGATATGACATGATGTCAGCATGCTGAGAACTCTTCCATTTCTGCAAACAGTAGCCTATGCGTTGGAAGGGAAGAGATTCTCAATACAATTATACTTTGGCTAAACATTGGTAATACAGGCCATCTCTCTAGGTGACAGTTTGTACAACCACATCTGAAAGCTAGTGGTTTTTCATGTCAATTAACAGCAAATGTGCTCTGGAGTTCAGTCCAGATCTGTTTAGCACATTGGATAACCAAATTCAAACTAAAATGCAGAGCAGATTTGCCATCTCTAATGTCAGCAGAGCCACCACTACCTGCAGGTTGGTGGTGGGTTCCTTGCCATCCATTGGTGAAGGCTAAATCTAGCCTTTGGTACCACAGGAGAGGGGAGACCCAGCATGGTATAGTGGTTTGGGTATTGAACTAGGACCCTGGAGAACAGGGTTCGAATCTCTGCTCAGCCATTGAAATCCTGGCTGACCTTGGGCAAATCACTCTCTGTCAACCCCAGAGTAAAGCAGTGTCGAAAACGCCTGTGAACAAATTTTGCCAAGAAAATCTTGTGACCGATTCTCCTTAGGTTCACCATAGGTCACATAACAACAACAACAGCAACTACAACAACAAACTTACAGGGGGAAGTTGACTGTTTTGGTGTTATGTGCCTTTCTTGGCAAGATTTATTCAGACACTGATGTAGCATATCCTGTTGGAAAAAAAGAAAAAAAATGTTTTGCATTCTCCTGTTCCTGTTTAGTTAGACAGGGACTTCACCCCTCTCCCTCTGTCATTTTAACTGTCAGTCCTTAGAGGTGGTGAGTCTCTGAACAAACTGGCAGTAAGCAGTCAGTAACGGCAGTCATTTGTCTGTCACAGTCCTCTTTGAGGGACTTAACATCTCTCTTCCTGCTTTATAAACTCCAGTTAGATTAGGTTTTAGTTTGTTGTGAAAATATTTATTAAAGTTATTATTGTTTGTTTTTAAACCACAAACCACAAAAGACAATGTTTGTCTTTTTGAGTTAGTCTTTATTCTTTAGGAAGACAGCTTTAAAATAATAGTCTGACCCACGTTTTTGATGCTCTGGCAACCTAAAATTGCAACCTACACATCCTTGTGTCTTTTCCTAGGCTGTCACTCTGCATGCAAGTTCACTGGCTGTAGCATGAGGATGCCGGATCTGAAAGTGAAGTGACAGGCCCTGCAGCTTCATATGCCCTTCATCAATGCTTTGATCATAATGTCAGCATATAGACTGATTAGATAATCTGAATATTGAAAAACTGCAGTCCACATTGTGCAGTTCATGTCTGTGAGCATAGGCATTTGTTGAGTGCAATTACTTTGTGGTTAAATGTATGAATGCTGGATGCAAACAGTGGGAGAAGAGAGATAAAAGTGTAATTACTATTTCCCTTTCACATGAATCTTTGCACAGACAGGGTGAAATCATAGTACACACCTGTGGCACATTACTAGCCATGGCTCCATCCTATGGAATCATGGATTTGTAGTTTGGTAAGGTACTTAGAATTGTCTGCCCAGAAAGCTCTATGACTGTGCTTCAGGGGAAGGCACTAGAGAATTCTCCACATCTCACAAAGCCACAAATCCCAGGCTTTTGTAAGACAAAGCTATGGTAGTTAAAGCAGTATCAAACATCTGTAATTGTGCAGCGTAGATACAATAGTGATACTATGCTAAGCAACTCCACATCTCCATCTCCAGTGTGAAGGTTCCTTGTTCAGACCCCAGAGGCTCTAATGCTCCCTAGTTCTCCTGTTCTAAGCACTTCTATTTTGAAATAATTCCCAGTGATTTTTGTTGATGTTGTTTCAAAGTGAACACGCTTAGGAAAACAGTCTAAAATGTACCCAGGAGAACAATAGATACTTTGGTAGAAAAATATAATCAGTTGAAAATAATGCAGAGAGAAAGAGCAAGTAATTGATGACCAAAGGTCAGCCTAAATGAGATTGGAGTGGGGAAGGGAAGCATAGTTTTGTTTTCTAATGCTGTTTCACTGAAAGCAACATTTTGATAATTAAGTGGTAGCTAAATTCATATGTTTAATTTGTCTAAAAAACTGTTCAGTGCATTAAAAATTGAGAAGGGTGAAAAACTTTCCCCTGAAGTTGTTTTCAATCTGTTACATTTTTATTCTCAGAAATGAACAAATTGAAAACAAATTGTGCAGTGTGTGGGTGATTCATGCAATGTCTTTTATAGGGGTTTCAGGAATAACTAAATGCTGGTTGAGTTTGGGGACCATAGAGGTGTTGTGCCGTTGTGAATGTCAATATTGTTTTTGAGAATACCCAATTTCAATGGAAGACTGAGATGTGTGATGGCAATGAAAGGGTTGAAGTCCAACTCCAAAATAGTTCTGTGCATCAGTTGTTTCATTCAAAATGTAACAACAGATTCATCACATGCTTTCTCATTGTCCCTACATATACTAACAGTTTTTATGGAGAATGAGGAAAAGGCAACTGTACTTGGGAATTTCACTCCTCATTATGTCACCTGGCTAATATACTAAGGGTTGAGGATATGATGAATGGGTTTTTGATAAAACGTGGTTACAAGTACTTATGTCAAGGGTTGAACTGACATTATGCTCATTGAGATGGTTGTACTGGATGGCAGTGGCAAATTCAGGAATTTGCTTTGTCCTGGCAGGACCCATACATCCTCCCATCCCAGAGAGATGAATTTAGTGTCCAGCCTGTTTACTGTCCCAGAAAGATGAAGAGGATGCAGTAGCAGTGCCTGTATATCTTGCACTTAGACGCAACAAGTGCTGGGGAAGTCAGACTCTGATAGGGCTGAGCAGTTACAAGAAAATCAGAATAAGGAGAGCTGTAGTAATGAGGTTTCAAATGTTCCATAGTTCTTCATGGGAAACAAACAGGAAGAACAAGCCAAGGAATTAGAAAGACAAGTTGTATACCTTATAGCCAGCTCATAGTGTCAAGAGTTCAAGAAAAGCTCCACACACTAGAGGTTGTCAGTCAGTAGTCTGAAGTGAATACTCTCTTCTGCTTCTGGGAGATTTATAGTTGCCTGGCTTTGACAGCCAAGTAGCTAATTGCTGGGATTCTGGTTTTTAAACCAGTGCATGAGGTTGATCTGTCTGTTTTCAGTCTGGCTTCCTCTTGTTGCATTAAAGTGAGAGATATCTTCTCAGCACCCACCTGCTATAACTGAGGTGAACACTCATTGTCCAGAATCTGAATTGTCTGTGTCTGGTCGTGATTGTTCAGGCTTTGTGGAGGGTCTGTCTTGTGGAGCTGTAGGTTCCTCCTAGTTTGACTCATTTGCATCAGAGACCAGAGGCTGCGTTATGACACTGTGGACTCATTCCCACTTGCATTTAAACCAGTTTACGAGTCGCATTGATACAAGGTTGCTGAATCGATTCGTACTGATGTGTGGTTCCCACTATGGAAGTGAATTATTTCAAGAATTCCATGTATTTGTGTGTTTTTTGACCTGCTTGTCATTCACGCTAGCTGTTTTTTTTTTTTTAATGTCAATCATATGATACTCATAGGTCCATCATCGTTGCCAACCTGAGCTGCATCCCCAGGGCTCTGGAGCTCCCAAACCTCCTGGGGAGCAGGCAGTCCGGGGGCTCCAGGATCAGGTGGGGGGGCAATGAAGCCAAAGGAGGGACTGTGACTCTGGAGACCAGGGTTTGATTCCCAGCTCAGCCATGAAACCCACTGGGTAACATGTCGGTGTGGATGATGGGTGTGGTGGTACATGATTTACCTTGTTGCAAAGTATGCAGGATAAGGCTGGCTGCAGTCCTTCACAGCCTCAGGCTTCTCTTCCACCAAAACCTTGGTGCAGCTTCCTGCTTCAGCCATTCAGCTATTTAGTAGCCATGAACACTCATGTTTGTAATCCAACAAGCAAAACTTTATTGCTACAACTAATAGAACAGAAAATAACTATGTACAGTCAATTTTGCCTGTCACTGTTTCTGATCAGGCAAGAGAAGAGTTTACATCCAAAAAGCTCAAGCAGCTCTCATAGTCGGACAAATGATTTTGTGCCAGCCCAAGTTTCCACTCACTTGGGCATAATCTTTCTTATTCATTGTTGTTCAGTGTTTCCCAGACCCTTAGTCCAGCCCCTGTTGTCTATCCCCCTAAGCAGACGGCTTATTGGGCCATCTTGGGGGCAGCGAAGGGGAGGGGCAGCCGCACACTCAGCGCCCCAACCCTCCCGAGGTCGTCCTCGGAGCAGCCAGCCCTCCGCACGGCTGGCGCTCCGAGGATGACCTCCCGCCGCAGCATTCGCAAACGCTGCGGCAGAAAAGTCACCAAAAGTGCGCCGCAGCCTTTTGCAGTGCACTTTCGGTGACTTGTGAAAGGAGCGCTGATTTAGCGCTCCTTTCAGGGGTGGCGAAGCTGCGCCGCAGGATCGAGGCATGGGGATGCTTATCCCCTATGTCATTCCTCCATATGACCTGTTATTTGGCAACACAATGATGTAATCTGTTTACGTCCAACTCTTCTCCTTTCTCACAACATTAACTTGTGTTTACTTTCTTAGTGGG